ACCACAGACTGTAAAGGAACCTTGCATGTGTAGAAGGCGACCACAGACTGTAAAGGAACCTTGCATGTGTAGAAGGCGACCGCAGACTGTAAAGGAACCTTGCATGTGTGGAAGACAACCACAGACTGTAAAGGAACCTTGCATGTGTAGAAGGCGACCACAGACTGTAAAGGAACATACCCAAACTTAGGATGGACCACAATCCCCCGGGGATTTTCGAAGCAGTACGTGTTGTTGCCATCTACGCAGTGCTCGGCCAGCTTCTTCACAAAGCGCCCGTCCAACTCAGACACTTGGAGACAGTCCAGAAAGCTGTCCACCCAGTAGAGCTTCCTAGCCACCCAGTCGACGGCGAGGCCCTCGCTGTGCGCCAGGCCGCTTAGCACAGTCTCCCTGCCCGTGCCGTTGAAGAACATGCGCTCGGCCGTCCTGCGCGCCACGTCGATCCAGTAGAGGCGTTTGTCCGCGCGGTCGAAGTCTAGTGCCACCACGTTGGTGAGACCTTGCAGGATGAGCGAGTAGGCCTCGCCGTCAGCCGACAGGTTGCGCAGGTAGTAGCGGTTACTGAACAACAGGTAGGGGGCAACGTTGCTGTTCTGCCGGCAGCTCCGCCCGTCAGGCTCTCGCAGGTAACCCGGGGCGCATTTGCACACGTGCGAGCCCACGGTGTTCTCACACACCTGGCTGCACACGGCTGGCGTCTCAGCGCACTCGTTGACGTCGTCGCATGTGGTGCCGTCCGACATGAGCCTGTAGCCCGGCAGGCAGGTGCAGGTGAAGCTGGTGGGCGTGTCCGTGCAGTTGTGGTCGCAGTGGTGCATGGAGGGGTCCGTGCATTCGTTGATGCCTGCAGCCGAGGATGGACGCAAGATTCTTAATGGGATTCGTCACACATGATGGCTACTAGCATCACACAAACAAACACACCTTGCATGTGTATCTGCCTAACTTTTATATATGTATATATAGAATCGATTTACATTACATCTTTATTTATTTAGCATAAGCGTCTATCCAAAGCGTTGTACATTTGAGAAAGCAGGATAAGAGGCCTAGCTCAAAGGATTGGAACCGACAACGTTCCAATCCCAGGTATATCATCCTAATCCGGTGAACGACACACCAATAACTATCCCTTTCCCTTAAATTGACTGTCCAGGGCTGTAGTGAGCCAAAAATCTATCCCTCGAAATGGAGGCAATGAGGCGGGGGGGGGGGGGGCAAAATGCTCACACACTGGGACTGATACTTCCCAAAAACCACAAAGGCTGGGATTCGATCCCACAACCCATTAGGAGTCAAGGGCCACAGAGCTAACACTGGCCTATAGCCTTTGGTGGTTCACAGAAAAAACAGTTTTTTCATTTTGAATTTTTTTTGGTAACATAAATTGTCAAAAAGCACACCTCCACACATGTGACGTCACGGTAAAACTGTAACTGTCACCTTTAAGGAGCAACAGGATTTAACAGAGCGGCGTATATAGTAAGAGAGATACAAGCAAGAACATAAATTATGTCTATAGGGGACAAAATGAATTCCAGGAGGAGATATATTTGCTTAGCAGACAATTATCTGACCATGGGAGTCTTAAAGTCTCTCAGGAGCACATCAGCATGTAAATACGCGTGTCCCTCAGTAAAAGGGTAAATGTGTCCCTGCTCAGGGGTACTAATGGATGTCTTGGTTATATGTTTGGGTGCAAGAGGGCAAATCAGCAAATGCGACACGGGGGAGAGGGTACTTACCACACCCTTTTTCGTCGCTGCCGTCAGAACAGTCGTTGTTCCTGTCGCACACCTTGGTGTCTGGCACGCAGTTCCCGTTCTCACATCTGTAGTTCCCAGGCGGACAAGTAGGGGGCAGTGTACGGCACAGGTGGTCCAGCTCGTCCGACTCATCGCCACAGTCATTGTCCCCGTCGCACACAAAATCGCGGGACACGCAGCGGCCATTCTGGCACGTGAACTGGTGCTGCTGACATGGCAGGTAGGTGCAGCCCTGCTCGTCGCTGCCGTCGCCGCAGTCGTTGCGACGGTCACACCTGGAGGATGGTGTGGTCATTACCAACATATGACCACCAGAGGGCTGCATCTACAAACAGTCAACAGCCGTACCCACAGACTAGAATTCTGCTAAAAGATCATAAAATTAGAATCATAAAAATGATTTCTATAAAGTCTACACACTTAAAGAAATAAACTTTAGTACAGTGAGCTTTAAATACAATACTTTTCAGCTCATGTCCCATACTGATCTGTTTCTGTGGTCATTTCCCTTGCCCTTCATACAAACGCTTCATCCATCCATTTTTCATAACAGCTTCTCTAGGGCCCACAAGGGCTTGAATCCCATCTCAGGGATCACATGAACGAGGCCGGAGACACCCCAGATAGAAAGCATGTGCTCACAACAAGGACACCAGTTCATTCAAACGGTATGATTTTGGACTGTGGAGGGAAGTACGATGATCAGAAGATGCTGGAAGTAGGGTTGCTTGATTTTGGCAAAAACCATATTAACGATTATTTTTGGTGAATATTGAGATTGTGATTATTCAACGGGATGACTGATTGACTTTGGAAATATCCATTTATTGATTTTTTTTTTTAAATGCCTATTTAACAGTGGATTTCCTTTAACTCTAAATAAAATTCACAAATTCAACGGAGAAATGAATAAGAAACAGCTGGAAAGGGGTGCACTGGATTTATAACAAGACATAAGGGGAGCATCATTGCCAAACGTGGCACAATAATCACTTTATCTCGATTTTTTGATAATTGTTGGTAGCTCAAATGGCAATTGAAATTAAAATTCGATTAATTGCCCAGCCCAAGCTGGAAGGAATCCCACACAGATACTGGAAGAGAATGCAAGCTCTAAACACACTGGAATCTACAGCCGTGGAGGTGTGACGCCACAGAGCTACCCGCTCGATCTCACTGGCCGCGGTACCAGGAGCAGCACTCACCTGTACGCGCCGCGTATGCACAGGCCGTTTGCGCAGGTGTACTCGCTGGTGGAGCACGACCGGCGCGTGCAGTTCTGGTGCTCGTCGTAGGCGTCGGAGCAGTCGGCGTCGCCGTCGCACACCCAGTCGCGGGGGATGCACTTCCTCTGCGGGGGCTGGTTGTTCACGCACGTGAACTCTGAGGCCAGGCAGCTGCGGTTTGCTGGCAAGAGCAAAAAAATCAAAAATAAAATAAGAAAACCTCCAGATAGTCAGACAGGAAGCCACGCCCCATTAGCACATAACTTTCATTTTCCAATCACTGACGTCTGCAAACAGGTCTTGCTATACGACATACTGCACACAGAATATATATTAATCCAGACATCCCACTTCATGCGTAGTGGTTTCAGGGAGGCGGACGTGGGATTCTATATATACATATATAAGGTCACCCTTACAGCAGCAATAAAATATGTTTACAAATATTAAAAAGGTGTGTTTTTATAAATTTTTATAAAAAATAATTTTACCTTTAGCGTGATGATATAACTGACATCTTTCATTATGGTTTAACCAACATGTTTTATTACATTATTAATGTATATTCAACTCATAACCGTTATAACCGTTACTTAGCTCGATAAGAATCAGCGGCTAGGTCAGGTTTGCCTTGGCTTTTTGTTTTTGAAGAACGATTGGCATCTGGACTAAAATACTCGTGTAACGACTCCCATGATTAGAATTGTTTAACTGACATGTTTTATTAGATTAATAATGTATATTTAGCCAGATAGCGACATGTTTTATTGATTATAACCACCTATAGAAACATATTTTATTAAGTATGAACGTAATTTAGTTTGGTAACAACATAATTACTTAATCGATACATAAATCCATAATATTAGGGATTTTGCCCTACCGATATGCTTTTAATTGCAGCCCTAATCCACGTAATCCAAAATTTCAGGCACAGACTGAAACATCCATCCCTATAATTCTGAACAGTTATGTATGGAGAATTGTTGCATTATAAAGTTATAACTGTTAGTAATAAGGGTAAGAGTTAAGAGTTAACGGGAGTCCCTTCTCAATACACTCTGCACAGCGACCCATAGAGCTTCTATCAGTGAACGATATTAGGCCTATAGGCCTATAATTTCCTGCCTATTGAAGCGTTACAGCTGTTGTTTCAGCTGCGCAGTATTTGTGGGTGTCAGATAGCTACTGTCAGTTTGTGGGAGAGGTGGGATGTCTGTTAATCAGTAACCGTTTCCTGAGCTCTCGCTGTCCCAAACCGGCAGCTGAGAGCCCCCGTCTCTGGGTTCCAGGCCTTGTTGCCAAGCCCATTCCCTGACGGGACACAAACAATGAAGCTCCCCGCATTACCATATCAATATGGCCTGACTGAGCGCCATTCTCTGGATACAGCTGAGGGGTCAGCAGCATGTCCAGGTCATCTCCTGTGAGATAGTTTTTTGTACGGGGGCTGACGTAAGACTCCTGATTT